AATGCGATTGCAGGATCAAATGGGATGTTTAATTTGAGTTCTTTGAGAATTCTCCATAATTCTTTCCAAAGAGGTTACATTACTTTGTGGTCCCACCAACAGGGTAAAAGTGTTCTTCTCTCCATATCCATGGTCTGCAATAATTTAAATAATAAAAGTTACCTGATTAGGTAGAAATCATTTATAAAGTCATCATGATTTTAAGCTTTCCTTTGACTTTTGCTTATTATCATTAATGGTAATATAATAAATTGACATAATGGGAATTCTCACTGTCCATCAGAAAGGGCATCCAGTGGCAAAGCCTCTTGCTTGCCTCTGGCCCTCAGTTTGTACTTTTCCTCCTGAGTCAAGCAGTCTCCTGGTACAAGTACTGGTTTCTTATGACTATTTCTAGAACTAGCTTCTGTATCTATTGTCTATATAATGTAACTCATTGATCCCTTTTTAAAGCTGCTAAATCCTTATGATTTATGTAGTTTTTCTATTTCCTCTTAAAATTTTTTTGTGGTGAAATACACATACATAAAATTTACCACCTCAACCATTTTTAAGTATACAGTTTAGTATACTGAAATTAATTGTTCAGTATAATTCATTGTTGTGCATCCAGTCTCCAAATTTTTTTTTTATCTTCCCAAACTAAAACTCTGTATCAATTAAACAACTCCCTATTCTCTACTACCTCTCCCCCTGGCAGCCCCCTTTCTGCTTTCTGTCACTATGGATTTGACTACTTTAGGTATCTCCTGTAAGTGTAATCATGGAGTGTATGTCTTTTTGTGACTGGCTTATTTCACTTAGCATAATGTCCGCAGAGTTCATTCATGTTGTAGCATCTCAGAATTTTCTTCCTTTTAAAGGCTACTGTTTGTACATACCAACATTTTATTTATCCAAATTTATCTGCCAGTGGCCGTTTGGGTTGCTTCTACCTTCTGGCTGTTGTGAATAAAGCTGTTACAAATACAGTTGTACAAATAACTTCGAGAGTTTGCTTTCAGTTTTTTAGATACATATCTAAAAATAGAATCGCTAGATCATGTGCTAATTCTAAGTTTTTAAAGAATTTCTGTCTTTTTAAAAGTCTGTTTTAAATTATTCTTTGCTAGGAAATATATTTTTCAGTTTTATTAGCACAGAGTTGTATGTAATATTTATGTATTTTTACTTATAAAATATATAAAGATTATATTTACTCAAAATAGTTCTCTTCTAATTTTCTTCAGTATCCATGTTTAGAATTCTTTTCTTGGCTCAGCGCCTGTGGCTCAAGCGGCTAAGGCACCAGCCACATACACCTAAGGTGGCAGGTTCAAATCCAGCCTGGACCCGCCAAACAACAATAATGGCTGCAACCAAAAAATAGCCGGGCGTTGTGGCGGGCGCCTGTGGTCCCAGCTACTTGGGAGGCGGAGGCAGGAGACTTGCTTGAGCCCAGGAGTTGGAGGTTGCTGTGAGCAGTGAAGCCATGGCACTCTACAGCTTAAGGCTCTGTCTCAAAAAAGAAAAAAAAAAAAAGAATTCTTTTCTTGGCTTGGCACCTGTAGCTCGGTAATTTGGGCACCAGCCACATATACTGGGGCTGGTGGGTTCAAACCTGGCCCAAGTCTGCTAAACAACAATGACAACTACAACAAAAAAATAGGTGAGCATTGTGGTGGGCACCTGTAGTCTCAGCTACTTGGGAGACTGAGGCAAGAGAATTGCTTAAGCCCAAGAGCTGGAGGTTGCTGTGAGCTGTGACACTGCGGTAGTCTACTCAGGGTGACATAGTGAGATTCTGTCTCAAACAAAACAAAAAAACCTCTTTTCTCATTTTCCTCATTCATATTTAATATTTTATTGATGTTTAACACCTTAACTTTTTTCTACCATTTAAAATTTTCAGTTTCATTAATTTTAGCTTTCATTTTATTTATATTTTATTTCTTGAGAAAATGCCTTAGTTCATCTATTTTCAATTTTTAAAAAAGTTGTAAAGTATCTGTAAGGCTTTACTTTTTAGTTGCAGCAGTTCTTTACATATTAATCCCTTAACAGATTATATGATTTGTAGATATTTTCTGCCATTTTATGGATTGCTGTCTCATAACACTGGCAATGTTCTGTTTTGTTTTGTGATAGAGTCTCACTTTGTTGCCCTGGGTAGAGTGTCATGGTGTCATCATAGCTCACAGCAACCTCAAACTCTTGGGCTCAAGTGATCCTCTTGCCTCAGCTACCCAAGTAGCTGGGACTATAGGCATCCACCACAATGTCTAGCTAGATTTTTTATTTTGTAATTTTAGAAAGATGGAGTCTTGCTCTTGCTCAGGCTGGTCTTGAACTCCTGAGCTCAAGCAGTGCACCTGCCTTGCCCTCCCATAGAGCTACAATGACAGGTGTGAGCCACTGCACCCAGCCAGCAGTGTCCTTTTATACAAAAGGTTTTTAATTTTGATGAAGTCAAATTTATCTGTTTTTCTTTTGTTGCCTGTTTTTTTTTTTTTGCTATCATATCTAAGAAATCATTGCTAAATCCTATGTAGTAAAGATTTTCCCTTATGTTTTCTTCTATAGTTTTACCTGTTAAGTTTAGATGTTTATATATGGTATAAGGGAAGCATCGAACTTTCTTCTTTCTTTTGGATATTCAGTTTTCCTACCATGATTTATTGAAAAGACTATCCTTTCACCATTGAATGATCTTGGTGCCCTTGTCAAAAATCATTTGGCTGTATGTACAAGGGTTTCTAGGTTCTCTATTCTGTTATATTAGTCTGTATATCTGTTTTTATGCCAGTATTACATTGTTTTGATTACTATAGCTTTGTGGTTAGTTTTGAAATCAGAAAATGTGAGTCTTCCAACTTTGATTTTTTTCAAAATTGTTTTGGCTATTTGGTGTCCCTCAAGGTTCCATATGACTCTTAGAATGGGTTTTCCTATTTCTGTAAAGCATGCTGTTGGGATTTTGATAGAGATTGTGTTAAATCTGTTTATTGCTTTGGGTAGTATTGTTACTTTACTGTTAAGTCTTTCAGTCCATGAACATAGGATGTCTTTCTATTTATTTAATATATATGTTTTCTTTAATTTCTTTCAGCAGTGTTTTGTAATTTTTATCGTGTAAGTCTTTCACCTCCTTAATTCCTAAGTATTTTGTTTTTTGAGGCTATTAGAGGCATTATTTTCTTAATTTTCCTTTTGAATTGTTCATTCCTAATATATGGAAATCCAACTGATATTTATGTTGTCTTTTGTGTTCCTTAACTTTGCTGAATTTATTCACTGTAACTGTTTTTGGTGTGGATATATTTAGATATTTCTACAACTATGATCATGTCATCTGTGAACAGAAAAAATTTTACTCCTTTTTTTCTAATTTGGATAATCTTTTTCTTGCCCAGTTGCTCTCTCTAAAACTTCTAGGACTGTGTTGAATAAAAGTGACAAAAGTGGGTATCCTTATTTTGTTCCTGATTTTCAAGGAAAAGCTCTGTCTTTCATCACTGAGTATGTTGTTAGCTGTTGGTTTTACAATGTGGCCTTTAACATGTTAAGGAAATTTCTGTCTATTCTTAGTTTGAATGTTTTTATCATGAAAGGGTATTGAATTTTGTCAAATGTTTTTTCTCTATTAATTGAGATAGTTGTGGGGTGGGGATTGTCTTTCTGTTAATATGTTATATTACATTGATTTTTTTTTTTTTATTCTTGAACTGTTTGTGCCCTTGGAATAAGTCCCAGTGTCATGATGTTTAATCCTTTTAATATGCTGCTGAATTTAGTTTACTGTTTTTTGTTGAGGATTTTTTTCATCAGTATTCCTAAGGGGTGTTGGTCTGGTATCAGGGTAATGCTAGCTTCATAGAATGAGTTAGTAAGTTCCCCTCTCTTTTAGTTTTGAAAGTGTTTGGGAAGAAATGGTGATAATTTTTCTTTAAATGTTTGGTAGACTTCACTAGTGAAGCCATCTAGTTGGCTTAATCTGGTTTAATCTCTTTATTTGTTAAAGTTTTATTCATATTTTCTATTTCTTGATCAGATAGTTTTAGTCAATTATGTTTGTAGGAATTTGTCCATTTTGTCCAGGTTATCCAATTTATTGGCATATAATTTTTTTGTAGTATTGTTTTATAATTGCATGGACCATAGGCAAGGCAATATAATAATTTAGTGTTCTAAGATGATATCAAAAAGAGGATATGATCAACTGAATTCAGAGTTGAGAAGTCAGCAATCTTGTTTGGGAAGGCCTGCTTGCTGCTTTTTTTTTTGAAGACAGATCCTCAAGCTGTCTCCCTGGGTAGAGTGCTGTGGCATCACAGCTCACAGCAACCTCCAACTCCTGGACTCAAGCCAGTCTCTTGCCTCAGCTTCCCAGGTAGCTGGGACCACAGGTGCCT